TTCCTGGCAATTGAGGGGTTCGGTGTCATTTTGCCCGGATTTTTCCTCTGCACAGGGGGGGGTTTGGATGGAATCCGATGTTTTAGGCCGTAGCCAAATCTATCCACATTGACATCATTTGGTGTCTACCAGGACCTTCAAAGTGACCGTCCGAGATCCCAGAATGAGGTCACTTAGTCACTTAGTCCCGAATGAGGTCACTTGGAGACTCCAAAGAGGTCATTCTGAAGGTCCTGGTGTTTCATTCCACTTCCAGTAAGACTAAGATCCTTTGTTTCTGGTGGCTATGCGCAAGCGACTCATGCTCTTCAAGGAGTGCTGTAAGTGAAGTATCGGAGTGCTCTTCTGAAGCTAGCCTGGGTCCGTATAAATACTATGTTGCTATACCTCTTACACACCTACACAAGTTCAAAGCACGAATGAGACTTCAAAGCTGTGGATTGCTGTGCGTGTGTAGAGGCTATCGAGCGGTTGACGGAAAGGGAACTTGAAGTACTATACCTGGTAGCTGCACTATAGCTACCCTGGGTCTCTATACCTAGCAAGGTGCCAACTACACCGTTATTTTCAAGGTGGCCTGAACAGAGTGTTTTAGGGCAGCAAACCGTGGTCTCAGGCCACCTTGAATTTAGCTTGAAAACCACAGCTACATAGCTACCCTGGGTCTCTATACCTGGCAAGGTGCCAACTACACCTTTATTTTCAAGGTGGCCTGAACAGAGTGTTTTAGGGCAGCAAACCCTGGTCTCAGGCCACCTTGAATTTAGCTTGAAAACCACTGCTTTGAAGCCTCATGCGCGCCATACCCGGGAACAGAACTGTAGCTACTTGTAGCTACCCTGGGTCCGTATAAATACTATGTTGCTATACCTCTTACACACCTATACAAGTTCAAAGCACGAATGAGACTTCAAAGCTGTGGATTGCTGTGCGTGTGTAGAGGTTCTCAAGCGGTTGATGGAAAGGCAACTTGAAGTACTATACCTGGCAGCTGCACAATGGCTACCCTAGGTCTCTATACCTTGCAAGGTGCCAACTACAACTTTCCATTCAGATGATGCAAATGATGCATTTGGCATTTCTTGCATCACCACCCCTCAAAAATCACCTCCAACACAACCTCAAAAAACCTTCCCTCGGAGCACCCTCCTCCCCCAGCATGTGCCGAGTTGACGTGTACCTTTCTCGGGCCACCCCCCCAGACCCCCTAACTACTCACTTCGTTCGCCAGACACAACTCCGCTAGCGCCTTCTACGAAGGCTGGCTTTCGTAATCTTGAGCTGCAAGACATGCAGATGGTTGATGATCCAAGTGAGCAAGCTAATCAGCATCTTTTGGCATTCATTACATCGACCAAGATCTACACTTGCCCCACCTGGCTCCACCCTGCTACCCCGCCCTGCTCCAAGCCATTCACTGCTCCACGTGCCTTTTGCAGGCTCGGCCGGGGACGCACGCCCGAGAAGCCCAAGGAGAACATCAAGATCCCAATGGAGTTCCTGCGATTTGCTGTCCAGGCACCGGGGAAAAATAGATCAACTCCAGAAGTCACTCCAGTCACGCAAAAATGTTGGCAGCAACCTGCAGCATGCCACTTTCTTCCGCCTGTATCCCAGAACAATATATTCACCAGGTTTGGGGATTGAACCAGTTCGGGCCAACAGAAAGATCATCTGGAGCAAATCCAGGGTTCGTGGAGTAGTGGTTCATCCGGGTGGTCGCATCCGTCGTGATGGCTGAGGTGAGCTCGCTGTCGACGATGTTCAGGCGGGCGCAAGACCTGAGACGTATCACGAGGACCATTGGAGCTTGAACCAGGTTGCATCTATGAGCTGAACGGGGCCTCACCAAGCTCCAAGAATGGTGGCCCACAAAAGCTATCTCAGGTCGAGAAGGCCCCCAAGTCATAATCTCAACTCGCAACTAAGTCGCTGATATTCTCTAAGAGGCTTTATGGGAAGAATGGGACTCAATAGGCCTCAGGATGATTTGATGGTCAAAGCAAGTTCACTTCTGTTCCCTCCTGCTCCCTCCCTCCAGCCCTTGCAACCAGTGCACCAAAGGATGGTCGCCAAGGTGGTCGCCTCCAAGTCGGCCACTCGCCTCAAGGTCTTCTTCTTGGCTGCCTTGAAATTCGGAAAGCGCTGTTGATCTGAGGGAGATTTTGGTTCAAGGTCATGCCACGAACTGAGCAGCTTGCCAGTGTCTGGGTAGAGTGGCAGATGGGTGGAGACCCCACGCCAGCACCCTCCGTGAGCTTCGGGGACTTCATTCCAAGGGGTACTTAGTACTGACCCATGAAATCTGTAGCTTTGGAAGGGGAAGCTGTAATACACTGTGAGACTGGAAGTTGTAGGACTGGCAGCTACCTCAGCTCGTTGACAGATGTGTGGGCAGGCGGTGCTCTGAAGATGTGGAGGGTGGCAAAGGCATCCAAAGGCTGCCTGTCCCCACGTGAGCAACCCTCCCAGACAACTTCCTACTGACGATGGCCCCAAACAGTCCGACACCTGTGTTCTATTTCTATGGGCGATCATCCAAGTAATGTTGCTATGCTCGTGACAGCGAGTGCCGATATTCCTGGGTCTACCAATCCCAACCTTTGTGTCCCCCAGCCGTAGCATGTGCCGCTGACCACCGCCTGATCTGACCACCGCCAAGCGTCTGCAAAGAGGCGGATGAAGTTGGGATCAGATTGGATCTGGCGTGCTGCGAGCTCATTGTCCCTTGCTTGGAGCCCACACTTGTGCAGCGCTGTGGCGCAGTTGTAGACCTTGCCGCGTCGGTCCCCCCAAGCTGGTGCCAAGCTAGTTCACCGAAAGTGGCACCAGATCCTGCACCAGATCGCGCCCTTGGCAAAATATGTAATTGATCGAGCAGCGTGGGAGAAAAAAAACACATCTTGGGGTCAAATACTGTAACATGATTAAATCGAGGATCCTTTTTGCATTTGTTGGACGAAGCAAGTGCTGGTCAGGCGCGACCAGCAAAGCGTCTAGCGACGGGAAGGTGATAAGGTATTCACCTGTATTCAAAGTAGGTCCACTTAAAGTGAGAGCATACGTTGAGTGAGCTCAACGTATAGTGAGAGAACTCGTCGTCTTGTCTAGTAGTAGTTCATCTACTTGTCCTGCCTGCTAGGGCCGCCCGGGTCGCCTTGCTCTTCACCCTTGATGGCATGGCACGACCGGAAGCGTCATCGACCGCTCATGGCCGAACCTTCACGCGGTGTCCCCAAGGCCAGCTCCACACAGTGCGTTCGAAGACGATCGCAAACCCGACACGACATGCCCGACACGAGGTGCTCCGACAGTGCGTTCTTCTTCGACCGGGCCCAAGGGACATCAAACTTCGGGAGGTACTCTTCCACCAGCTTCAAGATCGCAGGCACTTGGGACTCCGAGCCCAATCGGTGATGAATGATCAACGAGGAGCTACTTCTGGAAGGGATCTCTTCCTCAGCCACATGTCGTCTACATGTGATCTTGAGAGGTGTGGATATGCGTATATGTGATCACATATATATATATATATATATATATGTATTACATGTTTTTTGTTGTTGGTCTTGGTGCCTTCAACATCCTTCAACCACAACTTCCGCCATCGTCAAATCCAGTGATGCAAGGATTTGGGATGGCCAAGAACCTTTGCAGCAAAAACATGCAAACACCATGTGGGCACGCAGTTGCGGGACCAACAGCACGGACTCCAAGCGTCAATCATGAAGGTCATCTCGGGTGCCTCTGACAAGACCCCGGGCTCCAACTCCAGCTCCGGCAGATCCAAGTCCACCTCTTCCGCCCTCCGTGCCACGCTCCACTGCCGCGTGGGCACGCGAACGCGGCCACGCGCGCCACGCCGGTGGGCCACGGCCAACGCAGAAAGGCCCAAGCCCACCTGCGCTGTGCGGCATGGCCGCCTTACGCCACGCCTGGTGCGCGGCGCACTTCCAGCCCGGTCGCAGGGGCGCGTGTCGCTGGGTGCGTGGTGGGCGCGCCAGCCAGGTGAGGCGGGAGAGAACAACGCCATGGCTTCGAAAAGGAGGCAAAGGTGGTGCGATTGATGGGGATTGCTGCAGCTCTTCTGGCTGATGGATCTGAGAGGGGTCAGCGCAAGCTGCTTCTGGGCTCATTCATTTGAAGTGAGCCCGAAGAACCAAGGCAAGGAAGGATGAGGTAGCTTTTTGCAATCACTCTGACTGTGGCATGGTTCCATGGTTGTAGTGGTGCACTCTCGCTTCTTGAGATGAAATGTCCGAAGGCACACACGCCCCGATGGACTTCCGCTTCTTGTGGATGGCTAATCCAACGGCAATCAATCTACGCCTCTTCCCGTAAAACAAAATGCCATAAAACCTATATGATCCTATTGTATGATGACCGATGATCCAACAGCAGATGGCAAGATTCCTCCGAAAAGAGGGGCCGGTGATTCGCCGGTGATTGCTAAGATCCAGAGGGCCTGATAGTGCACCAAAGACCAACTCTATCACATGTTATCACTATAAAGCCATTGCATCACCTATGGTGGACACGTGGGTAAGTGTATGCTAAAGACATCGTAAGCCCTCACCAATCAACGAAAAAGCTGACCAGAGGTTTACTTCTCCCAGAGTCGCCAAGCTCCAAACACTGTTTCGCCGGAAGAGGGAGAGACATGTAGAGACCCCCCTGCCTGGCCCCAATCTCGTGGTTGGTGCCTTCAACCTTACACATACTACTACGCCTCCGCTTGATCTTGCTCCACGGCCGTCTCAACGCCCGGAAGCCGCAACAGAATCATCCGTGGATCAACGAAACCCAAAAAAAAGAGGCATCTTCTCACACACCGGCAGCATAGCATCAACATGCCGTGGCCTCCGGAAAACCAAAAAAAACTGGTAGAAAGTAGAAACCATCCTCCAAACCGGACCCTGGCGTTTCTGGCCTAACCCTGTTCCGTGTCCTTCCCCTTGCCCTCCCATACCTCCCGGCACCGAGAAAACCCACCAGCGTACCCCAGACCCAAAGCTCCACCGTCTCTGGCTTCGACCTGGCAGGCTGTTCTTGACCCAAATCCCCTTCACGAAATGGATTGAGAGGATTTGAGAGGATTCCTGGATGATCCGAGAGAACTGGGATTTTGATAGATGTTGGGCCATTTGGGCGGATTTGGGGGATGATGTTGGGGTGGATTGGTGATCCCATCATGATCCATCTGTGCGCAAGCAACACCCCAGCTGGCCAACTGGAAATCCACACCACCGGGTCCTCTTGAAGAAGCTCAGAAAAATGATCCCCGTGTCTGTTTCCACAGGGGCGTCCGGATAGAGATGTAAAGCGGCGCTCCCAACGCTCACAGGTCGTCTAATTTGAAGGTACCAACGTTCACGCACAAATCCTAATTTGACATAATTTGACTACCCCTTTATATATAATTTTAGAATATTTTAGATGCCTTTTCTCATGAGGTGCCACAATGGAGGCAACGGCAAGCGCACAAAATCTGACATGTCTCCCACGTTTTCTCTGTAAAATGACCCCCTGACATCTCCCAAGAGGGAGACCCTAAAACGTTCTTGGGGTGAGGGTGGACCCCCCGATTTTTATTACAGAGGAAATTGAGGATGAAAAATTGATGGAACATGAAAAATGAAGGGAAGATGGCCTTCCGGATCTTCCGGGTGTTATTCTCATGTTATTTCCCAGGAGCCCATGTGTTCCATTGTTTTCCCACTTCGTTCCGCGTACCCAAGAGCCTCATCTTATAAGAAAAACACACGCAGGATGAAACTACTCCAAGACACATCGGGTAGGCTGCCACCAGGGTGTGCTGCTCGACGGTTGCTAACCTCAAATGATAAAACATCGAACGCGGTTTACCCCAAACAACATGATCCCAGCACCACTCAGTTTTGAGTGGTTGATAAGCCCCCTGACCATGCGTTGCTCATCCAATTACCATCTTTCGTGTGGTGGTCTGATCTTTTGCTTGCCCCTCGCAGAGCATAGCTCTCTTGCTTCCAGTGCCAAAGAGAAAGAGGACGTCAGGCTTTCGGGGGGGGTTGTCCTTTTCAGCAACTGGTGGGCAGAATGCGGTCGGAAGAAAAACACCCGGACTCCAAAGGCTTTCGAGGGGTCGAGACCTGTTGACACCCGACTCGACTTTCCGCTTCGACGCCCTAGTCCAAAGTTTCCATGCGATGTCATCCGAACAAAGAAGACCCCATTGGACCTTCACTGGATCTGCTCCTCCTCTTGCTGGACCCCAACATCACCCAAGGTCACTCCTGCATAAGGCTTCCTGTCAGGCGAGGTCACTCCTGCCACACCTGTCACTCTGCTTCCCGGCGAGCGGACGCCCCGCGCCGCGCCCGGCTGGTTGAAGGGCTCAAACAGGATCGGCCGATACCTCGGCGGAGGGAGCGGAGACGGACGAGTCAACGTGCGAGTCAACAAACGAGACCGGCCGGCCACTGCGGGCTTCAAGAGCTTCCCAAGTTTGCGTAGCTTTTTGCTCCTAGTAGAAATGCAAGGAGCTACTAGTAGCGTCCTTGCTCCGTTCGTAGCGATGCCCTTTGCTCCTATGGATTTCGTGAGAAAAGTTAACGCCAAAGCCACGAGCCTGCTGGATTCTTCTTCCAGCTTGGGCCGCTCGGTTGCCCTTGCCGCTCCTTTTTCGGTACCCTTCTCAGTCTGGTTCGGTCCAACCTTCTGAGCCACCTGGCACGTGGTTTTGCCCATCTCGGCATAGCGAAGAATCCCGACCACAGACCTGAGGCAGGGCACCCATCGGACAACCAAGGGGTGCTGTTTTATCTTCCATGCCTGCCAAAGGACGTCATTCATCATCCAGGCCTTCAAAAAGCAGGTCCCAAAACGACCACCCATGCGGTTCTGATGAAGCTCATGGGTGCAGATTCCGCTCCCCCGACTTGTATAAAGATCATGATCAGAGTGTCGGAATTCCAAACCCCAAGCAGGAACATGAGGGCGACTGATGGGTCACCTGATCCACCGGGTCCTGCCCTGAAAAGGTGAGAAAGGCAGGGGTTTTCGGAGGCCGGTGGCACCGGCGGCACGGCAATCTGTCAACAAAGTCGGACGCTCATCTCGTTCTCGAAGCGCCCGAAAAAGCAACATATGAAACCTTTCGAACTGGTGCGTAAGGTCTGGAGCTTGGTCACTTCTTCTCCAAGCCCTTCATTAGGGCCGGTGCACACAAAAAGCCAGAAGAGAGAATATGTCGGATTTGCTGTCCAGGAACCGTGCCAAACATTCTTTTGGGGGGGTGAAGAAGGGGATCCACTCATGTCCCTCATAGGGAAACATGTTAAACAAACATCAATTGAACCAAAGCCCAATGCACTGTCACTGCCCCTTTCCTCCTCCCCTCCTCGGCTGGGGTCTACCGGACCCACAGGCGATCCGACGAGTCCACGATGCACGTGTGATACCTGGGCGGTCCGTGTCTGGGGCCCTTGCTCGGTCGCGGGTCTCAGGGGGTCTTCTTCGGGTGGAGCGGAAGAAGGGACCTCCTGCCATGCTTCTCTACCCAAGGACCTCAGGTTTTCAGGGCCCGACGACGACGCGTCCCAGGAGCGGAGTCGAACCACCCGAAGGGTTCCAAGCATGCAGAGCTGGCACAGCCTTGCAGGCACCCTTCTCGCGGGGGCCGAGCTGAACACCGGGAGAAGGCAGAGTCTGATGAAAAGCGGGCACGGCAAGCAAGAGTGGTTGATGACAGATAACTGATGACAACTGTTTCTGTACTTAGGGTAGGGGCAACCCCCCGACATCCCCAACACCAAAACAGGAATAGATCATAGGTGCCCCTGAGATGCAGAAGACCAAGTGGATCAATCTTGGTAAGGCTCATGGAACGGATCAATCTTGGTAAGGCTCATGTTCCATGACAAGGTTGTGCTGCTGGGAGTTCTCGCCCGCCCCCGCAGTCCTAAAACGACCTTGCCTTAATTAGTGCCTAGTCCCAGAGTTGAAAGGATGTGCACTACTACACTACCCACGCCCTTCCTTTTGCAGCCTCTCATGTTCGGTCGCCCCAAATCCCCTCCACATCGAAAAGAACCACCAGCCCCACCGCTGACCACGCCGGCCACCTCCACCCCATCGACCCCACCGTCGACGGATGGCGGACCGTCCGAGAAGACGCTCGGACCGGGAAACCACTTCTGAGCGCCCCTGGCGTGGCGCAGTGCACCTCCTTCACCTGGCTTGCGAGGTCTACCTCGGCGGAGATTGGGGGACGGGATGGGACGGCTCCATGGTGAGGCGAGGCTCGGCTCGGGACGAACGTGCGAGGGGGGGTATGAGCGTTTCAGGAAAGCTTGACTGGGGGGGCTACAAATGTTTTTATCCACCATCTCAAGAACGATCTGGATGGATTTAGTCTTAGTGTCTAGAGTCTGAAGACCCTCCACTAGAGATTCAAGTGCATATCCAAAACCCACCAGAACGGGTGTAGCAAACTTCTTGCATTGTTCACTGGTATGCAGTTCGGGCTTATGAGAAGACTAGACTCATTAGACTCATCCCTACCGTTTCTGATTGATCGTGTGTTTCTTCGCACAGGCAGTCCGCAAATCGCTGGTGACCGTGCGCTGAGGCTGGTTCCAACTTTGGCATGTACTCGTTGTCCTTCTCCTGTGAAGGATTGTGAAGGATGGAACATAAACCTCCGTGAGATCCACGTCTGGGAGCCGGAAGGGTGGAAAGCAATGAGCCTGAGTATATCACCATCGAGAAACGATCGAGACCTAGTTTACTACCCTGATGAACCCTGAGGGTTCATAACTAGAAATGGCATGTCCCCACATTCAGGGTGCAGGTCTGACAACAAATGAGCCATGGCCATGGCCAACACTCCTTCTCAAAGGATTCTTCAGACCACAACCCAACCTGTGAACGGCCCTAATTGTCTTTCGGGGTGTTGAAACATGTTGGATCATCGAAAAGGGCTTAGTTCAATGCTTAAACCAAACCAGCACAGGGCCGTCACCACCGTCACCTGGGCATTTGAACATGTGTTTTGGGGTCCACAGGGCCGTGCTGCTGGGCTGCCGGGCGCCGTTGCCCAAGCGGCCAAACCAACCAGTACCGAAGGTGAGGAGGCGCCCATCCTGCAGAGCCAAAAAGCTTAGGAAGAAGGACAGTCGCGCCTGACGGAGAGATCTGGACGGTGGGTCAGTCGCTCCTGACTCGATATGCTACAGACTCCGGGTGCCTTCAGAATCATATACTCCATAGGGGTGTACAACGCCAATGCCGAAACTCCATCAAGCAAGCGAGCAAGTAAGTGCTATAGACTTTAAAACCGTGCAAGCAAATCTTCTAAACAGCAAACTTGGTTCTAGGATCTCTTTGAACGTGGCAGTGGAGGTCCCAGCCTGAGTGATTAAGGCGGAATGCTGAGACCTTAGCGACGTGTGGCGAGTCCGGTGGCCGGCCGCGGTGCTGGATGACAGGCACCAGAAGGGTGGCCAAGGGATCCCAAGCCCCGAACGTCCAATGACTCGTTTTAGATCCACCTGGAAGTCATCCACCACCAGTTCGGGGGTAACAATGAAGTCCAACTTGGAGGCTTCAGGCCAATCAAGGACCCACTGCGATGATGACTCGAATCCGCCAATCCCAGACACGACCCATGGGACTGCCATATACGCCGCCCCAGAAAGACCCCCAGTCAACCACCCCTGGCCGTTTCTCGGCAGTCCGCACTATCATGGAGCCTTTTGGCTAGTAGGTTGTCTCACCCCAACTGATCGGCATATATGGCAGTCTCATGGAGGGTCGAATGTGTTCAGTTTGGACGACCTCTCGTCCCTTCTCCCTCTCGGGCCCCCAGACCCACAGGCCACGCTGCGGAGCACTCGCAACTGCGTCCGAGCGTGGTGAGCGTCCGAGGACGCCCATCTTACAACCCTATATAACATCTGACCCAGACACTCCATGTGTGCCATAGGACTGCCGATCAGGCCAGGGGTGGTTTTGCGGGGTCAATGTAGGCATATATGGCAGTCCCATGGAGTGTATGGGTTGTAACTTGATTACGGCTTAGTCAGGTTAACACTCGTAGGGTTTTCACCACGTGGAGGGCTGGCAAGAATACGTGGCAATGTAGGGCGGGAACGTTGAAGCTCATGGAAGGCTGGCAAAGTAGGGTGGCAAGAATGCTTGGCAAGGTGAGGGGGCACAAAGCGAAATCCTTGAAAGCCAGCAAAATAGTGACAAAGTAGGGTGTCAAGAACGCTTGGCAAGGTAGAGCGGCATGGACAAGAGGTGTCAAGGTAGACTGGCGAGAACGCCTGGCAAGGTAGAGTGGCACAAAGCAAAACCACTGAAAGCCAGCAAAAATGGTGGCAAAGTAGGGTGGCAAGAGTGCTTGGCAAGGTAGAGTAAAAACATTGAAAGTTGGCAAACGTGGTGGCAAAGTAGGGTGGCAAAGTGGTGGGCACAGCTAGGGTAGAGCTATTGCAAGCCAGCAAAAGCATTGGCAACGTCGCCAACAACAAAGCCTTGGCAGCTAAGCTTGGCAAAGTAGGGTGGCAGAAAACTGTGTGTTGTAAAGCACGGCTATGATATTTTAATTTTAGTAGTAGCACTAGCCCTACTAGTAGTAGTAGTAGTAGTCGTCGTCGTCGTGGTGGTGGTGGTGGTAGCAGCAGCAGCAGCAGTAGTGTTGACCCACCGTAGTAGTAGCAGCAGGAGTAGTAGTAGTAGTAGCAGTAGTAGTAGCAGTAGTAGTAGCAGCAGTAGTAGTCGTCGCAGTAGCAGTAGCAGTAGCAGTAGCAGCAGCAGCAGCAGGAGCAGGAGCAGGAGCAGTAGCAGTAGCAGTAGCAGCAGCAGCAGCAGCAGTAGTAGTAGTTGTCGTCGTCGTCGTCGTACAATTAGGCTATGCGGCATGCAAATTCCGAATGTTCGGCAGAATGTTTGAACAAGTAGCCCAGCACCCTGGGCATAGACAGGACATGTGGGATGTTTCATGTTGCTGTTCCAAAAAAGGTCTCAGAAACTCTCTCTCTCTCTCTCTTTTGCCAAGCCTCACTGTCAATGGGCTTGGATGGTTTATCTTATACACAAGAATCAACAAATCCCCAAGACCTCACAGAACAAGAAAGCCCAAAAACAAAATGACCTCAAATTAAAAAAAAAAATTGGAAGATTCTTGGTTGTTCTAATATTGACTGTGTTGAATAAAACTCCCAATATGGAGATATAAAACCAACCTGGCAATGGGCGGGGAGATTCATCAACAGTCTACTGCTGTTACACTCCCTGAAACAATCATGGTTACATCGGTTACGTGGCCCCCGAAAGGAAGACGATGACATCCTCTTCAAGAGGCGGTTGCCCACTTCCATGATTGTTGCAGGGACCAGCAGTCACAAAGGGGTGCCGAACTTGGAGGATAGGGGTGCCTATGATCCACTCACTGGATGGGACGAACCAAACCACCCCGACATGTGACTGCTGGGAGGGTCTCTTTCTTCACCTTCTGTCTATAAGTACCTCACCCTCTTAGAGTGGCAGTCCGTCCAAAGGCTCGCCAGTCGTCGAACGCACACCCTGAACCGGCAAACAGCCGGTTGGGCGAAAGTGGTGGGGAGAAGGACCCAAGCGATGTTATGGTTTAAAAGCTGCCGAAAGGTCTCTTCTTGAGGTTTCCACACATACTTTTGAACACTCCTTTTCTGTTGTTGCATCTCTGAGGCTGAGGTGTTGCATTTCCTTTCGACTCCTTTTGGGTTCTCCACACTTTTCCTTTCAGGGCACCAGGGGGACGCGCGCCACCGCCCTTTTTCAACGAATCCATTCCGGCGGCTCGTACAACTCCCCGCGCATCACGGGCACCCGTGATGCGCGGTGAGACCTGGATGGGGCAGTGTCGACCCTGAAAAAGGCAAGCCTGAAGACATCTCAAGACCTTCAAGTGAAGAAACTCGTGCGGCTCCAAAAGCGGAGAAAAACACCGCACTTCTGTGTGCGGTCAAGATCTGTCTTGTCATCTTACACGCTCATGGAGCCTCCTAGCCCCAACTTTCCACCCCAATAAGAGGAAACAATGGAAGCTATATATATATATTATATATATTAGTAGATGATTTCAATGATGTTCCGGTAGTCCAGCTGCGGATGTCTTACATCGACAGCAGAATGATGAAGAATGACAAGCCAAACATTCCTGGTTGGTGACTGAACACATCCTCAAAGGATTTGTCACTTGGGATTCAACTTGGGATGAGCATTTCTGAAAAAGACAGATACAGTCATTTAGAACGTCAAAAAGAATCAACCACCACCCAGCTCCAGAGCGTCGATGAGCTCCTACACCAAGAATGACGAATCATGCTTCATGGCTTGTCCTGGATCCATGGAGTCCCCTTCGTTGGAGTCTCCTCCCTTCAAAATAGCACCTTCCTGGGGGCTGACTGAGCGACTCCTTCGCTCTCGTGGAGCGACATCGGACTCCAGCCAGCGCGGGAAGCGCATTAAGACATTAGCAACATCCTTTTCAAGGATCAGCTCTCATGAGACCAAAGGTACTCTCATTCCTCAGGCCTCTCCTTCTCCTGCCAACGCTTTCACATCCAATGCATGGCGACCATGGACCCGACTCCAAGTTCCAACACATGGCGACCCTCGACTGCTATCCCGGTCTAACATGAGCCAGCCGAAGATGAGCTTCCAAAGTGCCAACTCTTGTATCTGAAGAGGATCGAGATCAAAAGTCCCAGGTTGGCTCCCATGTTTTGCAGGCAGCCTGCCTTGCCGTGATGGGTTCACTGGTGCATCTTCTTGGATGGTCCCAGACTGGGGAGGCAAAAGTCTCATCAACGCAGGTACTGGACCAATGACTTATCCGAGAAAAAACTGCTCCGCTTGTCCGGTCCATGGATGTTTGACTCGTACCCGCAGCTGTTCTAACCTGTTCTTACCCATGCCCACGCTCGGATGGCATCAAAAGCTGAGCTATCGTAATCGCCGAGAGCCCTAGCTGATCGTAATCGGTGGCACTTTGGGTACATCCCACTACCAGTAAGCGTGGATGATGGGTCAACAAAGGCCTTTCACCCCAAATAGTGACAAGTGTTTTCCCTTCCTGCTGTTACTGGCTACTGGGACGCAACCGACAATAGTCACAGTACAGGTTTTGGCAGGTTGGTCTGGCCATCCTGGAAGGGATTTCGCGTCCCGCTGAGAAAAAAAAAGGCGCCATGCCCATGCCGTGCTGGCGTCCTCAAACACCGACCTCCTGCGATCCAACGTACCCTTCGGGGCAAATCCTCTCACACATGACCAGAATTCAGTGGGATTCTAGGATGCTGGGACTCATCGCCCGCCTTTGAGGATCGCGGGTCATTTCCCCCCCAACCCCCGTCACCTCTCCCATACCAGCACGCTGGTGCACTGGCCCGCTGGCCCACCCCCAAACGGATGACCATCAAAAGCCCCCGCGTTCGGCGTCTCTGGTCCAACCCGTCCAACCCACCTCCGTCTTCTTGGTTCTCTTTTGCACGGACTTCTCCGACCTCTCGGTGGCCTTCTCGGTGGCCTCCCTCCCTTCCCTCGTGCGCTCCTGTCCGGAGGGAGGGGGGGCAACGTCGGATGGAGGCTGTTGCGTCCAATGCGTCCAAAGGAGGCGGATGAAGATCCGGTGCACCTATTGGGTGAATATCCTTGGTAATCCTGCTCGGGGCAGAACCAGCTGCCACTGTTTGTGCCAAACTTGTCCAAGCCGAAGCTTGACACAATGCCAGCTAGATCCGTTAGGACAAGCGTCTCAGAACTCCTAACTTCTACAGTGTTCGAAGAACAGGCGATGGATTTCAAGGATAATGATAACCATACAATTGATTTGATCCTACTTTGCTCTGCAGTGCTCATGGCCTTTGATCTCCCTGTCTCAAATTGATGCCCCCAACTTTGAAACCTTAAGTAATTTGTATAATCATGTTCACCCCCCAATCCTATTAAATTCTTGGGAAGCACTCCCCATTACCGAGAAGTCCTAGAGGCCTGAGTCTTGGAAAGGAGCAGCTAGTGCCGTGTCGATACCAGTGAAGGATTTCCATGTCATCCTTCCTCAACCGTGTCTATTGGCCCACGTTGTTTCTTCCTAAAGATCTGGTTTCCAGTCCTCCCACCCTCTGACACACCCCCGGCACCCTCCCCATCGTTCAGTCGTTCCCGAACGAATGGGCCACACACCCGATCAGATCCACCGGCGCCGATCCACACCTTGGTCCTCCTCTCCGATCCAGAGCTCTCCTTGAAACCGGGTCGTTCTCCGTGCCCCAAACGGACGGCCTTTGTGTTGGCTTACCGCTGCCTATAACGACCATCCTTGGGAGTGGAACATTCGTGTTTTAGGGCGGACCGGCGAAGAGCTGCAAGAGCTGCATGCGACCATCGCGCCGGCCTTCCCCGAGGCACACAGGTGGGGTGGAAAAAGGGTCTCATAGGCGTTGGCATGTGTAATAAATATTGTCTATACAGATGACCCTATATGACCCTAGAAATCATATAAAGATAATATGTACTCCACTGATCTCGTTGGGGGTCATGCATGGCCAACCACATGGACCTAGCCAAGGCAAAGTAACTTGATGCTGGTGTTCATCGTTCATGCTCTTCTCACATTTGGACATCCTTCCAGAGGAGCTATTTGAAAAATGCCTGCAAGGAGCTTCTTGGAATGGTAAACGACTCTGCTACAGTAGATGTTCCTTTTCTCAGCCCCTGGGCTCCATTCAGCCCTTGGCTCCTTGAGGCTTGCAGCCACCTCAGACATGCAGCTAATCAGCTGCGCCATCTGCTTCTCAATGCGCTGCAGCGACTCGGCACACGAGTCCTGGAGTGAGGGGAACCACTCTGG